GAGGAAGATGTGTCTGGCAATTTAACCCCAGTGTAATTTAGGAAGCCATCTCCAGAGCTGCAAGCCAATGGAATCTTTCTAACACACCCATCAGACCAATATCCTGAATTCCAATCTTTTGGAGATTTTGGTACAAATCCCTTCAAGCATGCACATTTGGGAGAGACGTTGACCCTGCAAGTAGTATATGCACCACACAAGGCATAATTCTGACACTTATCTGCTTGGACTGCAGAGGAAAGTTCCCACCTATGTGTTTGGTACACCCATGTGAATTGCTGTGCAGTGCCTGATGGATTCAACACATATCTCGAGAACATGGACGTGTTTAGAAGCCAGTATATGCACCACACAAGGCATAATTCTGACACTGATCTGCTTGGACTGCAGAGGAAAGTTCCCAACTATGTGTTTGGTACACCCATGTGAATTTCTGTGCAGTGCCTGATGGATTCAACACATATCTCGAGAACATGGACGTGTTTAGAAGCTTGTACTCATAATAGGCCTCATCCTTGTTCAACACAATTTCATACTCCAATGCTGGGTTTGATTGTGTTTGTGGATGATATGGATATCCTGTAAAATGAAGGCCATTCCATGACCCTGGTCTAGACATTATCTTAGCTCCTTTCATAGTAACAACTTGTGGGAAACCATGACGATCCATCCGTGATGAAAACTCTCCTGGAGCAGGATCGTCTGTGCTCCTCCAAGACGAGAGGTACCTCTCTAAACCAGTAACCAAGTCCCAACCAAGCTTCATTTCTGGTAGGAATGTGTCACAAGGATAATCAAAACTCTGCCACAAGAATTTATCTGGGTTAGTTTCATTTCCATCTTTCAAAACAAAATTTCCTGAATCCATGAGTTGTGATACTGGATTCCCTGCAGTTGTTGATGAATTTGATGACCATACAATCCTGTTTGTGCTATTGAGAAGCACTAGAACTCCTTGCTCAGTGACCTTCAAAACTCCTGAAGAATCGCCAAGTGGTCTTTCTCTGTTAGCTACCCATACAACTGTCTCAGTATGAACAGAGTACCATATTCCTAAGTATCGACCTTTTGATGTACCAGGCCTAAAGAATCCCAGTTGAAAGCTTCCACCTGCTGAAACTAGAGTTTCACCGTCTCTCATAGATCGACTTGGAGTGATTGTGTCTGTTGCTGTTGTAGTTGAGATACATAGGAAAGAGAACAAGAAGGAGCACACAAAAAGGCATTTCATGGCTTGCATTGATATTCTGAAACTGCATATTTCTATACGGATAATCCCAGTATGCTTATGCCAGTATGCTTATGCCAACTTCTCTGGGTTTGAAAAGTTGGCCTCTTTGAAAGGTAGTCATTGACTACGGACCATTAGGACAGGTAGGAAAATAACAAGATATGTTTCAGAAGTTGCCGCATGCCTTCTATTGAGAAGGACTAGATATCTAGCATTCAAACATATGTGCTTTTGTACCTTCCATCTAGTTGCCATAAGATGCGTGAATGAGTCGTTGGTTGACAAAAAAGATAAGACCAATACGATTGAAATTGCAAATATAGACCACATTGAAAGTCTTACCAAATTAAAGAGCATTTAATCACTTACTACACTCGATGTCATGTGGTTTATTCCCCAAAACTATAGGATAAATTATCGATAAAAAAATAATAAAAATAAATAATAAAAAACTAGACACAATCACTCCACGTGGAATGACATGGAATCAAAAGTACTGAAAAACAAAGATGTAGTCGTTACATGGCGCAAACTAACCAATTAGAAGATGCAAAAGCCATTAAAACAATAAAATAGCATGCTTTCAAAGCTACCCATCGATGTCTTTCACCTCACCTGAGCCTTAGGCCATCTCCAGTTATGGGCTATATCCCGAATATAGTACTAAAATAATGCAAAACTCATCTCCAGTCATGGGCTAAACAAAAGATTTCCCGGAAACAATTTTGTGCGGAAATTCCATTTTATCTCCATAATTTTGCTAATTTCTACTTTGACCCCTTCATTTTTCCATTATTATTTGCCACCTTTGTCTTGGATCGCTAGGTTTCTAAAATGCAAATTTATCTTCAGAGGCCCAATCGGTTCTTTTCCTCTGCAGGCCCATTCGTTAGTTTATTCCAATTTCTCATTAATACCAACAAACTAAATTGTATTTTTATTTTATTTGACAAAACAATATTTTAAGCTATTCTAATATACAGGGAGAGGCGACTGAGCTTAATTTATTTCTTGATAACTTAGGCCTAGTTAGGATGATTTCGTACCCTAAAAATTAATCTTTCTTCAATAGTTCAAATTACTTGGTTAACTTTAACATACATTTTGGGCCTAAGCCCAATTCTCTTTTCTTTTGCCTAAGCCTAATTCTCTTTTCATTTTCATTTTTTTAACATTGTTAGCCCAATTACAACGCAACAAATGCACAACTTGTCCCATACTTAAATCATTTTTTAGGGTACGAAATCATCCTAACGTTCAACATGTCATAAAACTTCAAATTTCATAACTAATATAGCTTAATTCAAATATCTATATATAGTTATTGTCAGTGGCGGATCCATGATCTCTGATTGCAGGGGTCAACATCTAAAAGGTAAAAAAATTCTATACAAATTAAAACAAAAAAAATATGAAACGATAATATTATAATTCTTAATTAATAGAAAAAACCACATTACAATTGTCCACGTTAAAAAAAAAACAACAACAACAACAACAACAACAATATTCAACTACACCATTCACTTCTAAAGTAAAGAAAATAAAGCTTCATTTTTCCATAGTATGAGACTTTAATTTGGTCATCTCGATATCCTCTATTGGGTTTTCACGCACTGCT